TTAAAGTGCTACTTGCATGAAAATGGTCTTATTTCAAAACTTCAAGCAATACAAATATATGACTCATTTATATCTATTAAAAACAATTGCGGGAAAATATTTGTTTTGGAATTATCCCACGTCAGAGAAATTTTGATTCAAAAGATGGAAGAACAAAAGGATGGAGTAAATGACGTCATCTATTCCAGCATTTTTTGCCCAAATTATTAAGGATTTGTATCAATATCTTATTGAAATCTGTTGCTTCATGATTATTAAACCCATATGGATAGGTCTATTTGATTTCCAAGTCTTTTCTAATGTTTCGACATTTTCGTCCAAGTGTAGCCCTTTAATTTACATTGAGATGACGATGACAATATAATCATAACTTAGACATCACTTAGAGGATGGATAGAAAACAACAATGTTTTCATTGTAAATTTACCTTKGATAAAATCTGAAACCACTTGTAATTGTGGAATACTTCCAAGCCTGCAACACAAATTCGGAAACAAACCATTATACCTTATTCGAGTTCATTACTAAATAGAAATCGAGTCTTCTTACTTGTAATCGCATTCCTTCACGAGGAATGGCCAGATGTCGTTAAACTCTCGGCATGCATGAGTTGGGAAAAGCTTGGTCAGACATTGAAATATGGTATTCCTGAAGATTGAATTAACGTAATAACGATATCAACACATTGTATACGTATAAATTGGATATTGCTATAGGGTATCGCCTGGTCATACAGCCTTTTGCAAAAATTATGAGAATTGTCTAAATATCTAAATATCATAATATCCATATCCATATATTGTCCAGAACACGCGGGTTTGCTAGAATAACTCATTGTTGACATCGAGAAAATGTTCAGAACTATGGATAAGTCTGTCGCGATCGCCAAAAAAAAAAACTAAACTACAAAGACAAGGGACTAAGGGCATCGCGTGGGATTAACCATCATGCACTTGATATTATRCACTCGATATTATGATATTTAGATATTTCAACAATTCTCATAATTTTTGCAAAAGGCTGTATTTCATTGATATCTATATATATATATATAAAATATATATAAGTCTCTTATTTCTTTAATAAGGAGGCTGTAAGTAATACTAATTACGTCTGGGCGTGTCCCTATAAGTGCAGCAGGACCGATTCTTCACCGCTGACGATGCCAGGCAACTTCAGGGTGGACAAAGAGCCTCATATTAACCAACATCGCAGTCAACCTGGGGGGGGGGGAGTTATAAATAGAAGGGAAAGTTTTTAAAAATTTAATATTTTTCTATCATTTTGCAATTTGAAAAACAAAATATGCAGCAATTTTTGAAAAATGTTTTGTTAAGCCTTAAACCCCCC